TATAGCAAACCTTATATTTGTTTTAAAACAGCAATTCTGCTGTTACAAAACTAAAGTACAGTTAGATATTTTAATTTTCTGGCTAACCTTTTTGTGCTGCAAACATTTGCCTGTTTTGATGATGAGTGTGGCTTTGACTCAGTCAGTGAGTGGGCCTTTACACAAAACTAAGAGCAGATTTAGTTGTAGTCCTGCTGTTAAACTGTCCCCTGTCATATAATGATAGAATTGTCTTCTGTTTTAAAGTTGAAGGCAGCAAAAATAATCTTTGACAGTTTTTAATCCCTTCCTAACTGTCTGACATAAAGGTCTTGTATGGATTTTTGGATGTATGTTGCCATTTGAAAATTGTTTTGGAAAAATAATAGCTCCATAAAAACCATTGCATATATGTCACAGTTTTCACTTTTTTTTTGACTCTGTGAATTCAGAGCATTTCTGTCAGCAGAGCATCTGATCTGTCAATGGAGCTGAAGGTTGAAGCTGAACTCTTGCCATTAGGCTGTCAGTGGATCTGCTGATAAAACTGCTTTAAGGAACAAAGCCCCTGACACACACACACACACACACACACACACACACACACACACACACACACACACACACACACACACACACACACACACACACACACACACACACACACACACACACACACACACACACACACACACACAAACACACACACGCACACACACACACAAGCAGCCAAAGTCGTGAGAGAAAAGCAAATGTTAAAGACCGCTCTTACACAAACACATGAACACGTGCAGTTGGTCACTGCTGAGTACACAGACACTGTTTGGACATCTGATGGAGCTTTTTTTAACTGACATTGAGAAAGTGCGTGTGTGGTGACGCTCGTTCACTGTGTGTTTACATTTGATTACACTGAAAGCTTGTTCAAAGTGTAACTAAAGTGTGTTTACCCGGGCAGCACAATGTGAAAGCAAGGACTGGCAGAGAAGGTAGGACAGAAAGTCAATTAAAGGCAAAATTTCACGAGCCTTGATTGCCTGGGAAAAACAAAAAGTGGAGGGGGCATCAAAAAAAGAGTACAGTTAATAAAGTATTGCATAATGTGGAAAAGAAGCCATGTGATTTTGACAACAAATAACCATGTGGAACTCAAATTATATAAAGAGGAATAGAAGGAGTGAACAACAGCAGGACAAAAGCAACAAAACCTTTGCACAGTGAAGAAGGCAGGACACAGCTGGAGAACATTGGGCATCAAAGCTTGAACAGGCAGCCAGCCAGCCAGCCAGCCAGCCAGCCAGCCACGGCAATGCTGCTAAACAGGACATCATAAAGAAGCACACTGGCACAGGTGACAGCTGGATAGCTTCAATGTTTCAGCTTTAAGAACATGGCAAAACTTCAGGTAATGAAAGTATAGATAAGCGACAAATCAGATTGTACGGGTTAGATGGTGAAATGAAATGCAACATAAATAAAGTGGGTTGACAATACAGCTGTATTACTGTCTGCAAGGACAATGGAGAGTCTACCTTCCAAAGACAATCCTGTTTCCCTGTTGGTTCTAAAGGACACCTGTGTTTTTTTTTATGATCTTTAATAAAAGAAAGGCCCTTTTGGATGTTACCCAGACTTGTTTTGATGAAAACCCACAGAGGCCCATCAACCTTGAGGCAATAATTCTGGCAGGAAAGCCGTTTGTTTCTGGAGTATATTTAAAATTGGAGTCTGTAATCTTTTTCCAAAATAAAGTGTAAACGAATTGAGGAATCCCAGAAACATTCATTATTGGGTTTTAAATGTTCATTTTATTGATTTTACCTGCTTGAATCATTCAATTAGTCATATTGAAAATGTGCCTGGGAAAAGGTTTTGTGTTGTTGTGGGTGGAGCTGTGTGAAGTGTGAGAAATGTTCTCAAACATTACTAATATCTTAATTTAGGCTGAGAGAATACTCAGTCTTAACAGAAAACCTCCATACATGGACATGACTGTCTTCAGAGAAGATGCTATAAGAAAACAAAACATGCTATGACTTAAAAGACAGTAACTCTTCAAACAATACGAGTGTAAAAAGTTGCTGCCAAATTAGCTTTGGTTGCTTACATCTTGCTAGCAGCCAGCAACATTTTTATTCGTTGGTAGTCATGTTTATAACCACCTGGTCAATCTAATCCTATATGTACTTTATTTTAAGTCTGTATTTGTTCTCTACCCACTCCTGATGAAACTATCTGGCCTTTTTCTAGTTAAGCTAATTGCAAAATGGCTTGGTTGTTGGCATGTGGTGTGCAATAGCTTTCCTCTTAGCCTCCTGCCAAGATAGCTGCTGTTAACAGTGGGAAAGGTGAACCAGAAAAGTGAAATTGGCATAAAAAAAAATAGCTTAAAGATGCTCAAATGCTTCTTCAAAGTTAGATGATTATTCTCAGTGGTTGTATCACTATTAACACATGCTCACATCAGCCATTTTCCAAATGAGTTATACAAATGTTTCAATTCTTGCTCAATTTTTTGACCATTTTTTATCTGAGTCCGGTGAGCTCCCCAACTTTGTGTTACTGCAATATTTTATTATATGTCCAATTACACTCTCAACATATTACATAAAGCTGGTGGCTGGCAATATGGTGTCGCTAAAGGGCAGAAATACAGAAATAATATTGTGGCGGAATCCAGAATCATGGATGTAGATAGGTCTATGGAAAAACCTTGATGGAATAATACATTTAGTTAGATAGGGGCTCTGTTGTACTTATAGGACATGACACACTGTTGCTTGAGAGCTTTTTTACCCCAGAATAAATATCTTCAGTGACAGGAGATCAATTGAAAGCGTTCAAAGAATTTTCTGAATGAGCCACACTTCAGTATGAGCCCCAATGATGTCACTGATGAGATGTGCCTCAATGTAGAAGTCTCAATGCCTCTTTGGATCCATTTCATCCCTCCTACAGCGTGAAGAGAAGTCATCACACCAACAGCTTTTCCTGTGCTGTGTTTGAAGAGAATAATAAACCAGCTGGCAAACTCCGCCTCTGGTTCTGTCAGTCTTCACTGGTGCACCCACTTTAAATGCCGTCTTCATTAGACTCTGATGCCTTAGTTTAATGTGGGAGCTGTGAGGTGCTGTCAAGTGCTCTCACTATAAAGGCAGAGGTTGTTTTGGATTTCTTTAAAAGTAATTGTACATTTTAGATCACTTGTATGATAGAAAATATACTTTCTTGTTCGATGTTGTTTTTGTTAAATTCTAAAATCACTTTCTGTGCTGCCAAATCTGGTTTAAAAAAAACTCAAAATCACTGGACCGCAAATATTATCAGTCAGTCATAAACATCCTTTTGTTGTTTGGTTCACACGAGACGCGAGCAGAGCTGCCTGTGTGCGTCATGCACGAATCTCATTCCACAACAGGACTGAAACGAGAAAAATGAACAAGAATGTAAGGGACTTCTGCTCTTGGGGATTTCACTCTATGTGCACTAATGTCATGGTTGCATTTAAGTTACACTTCTACCATCACACCTGAAAAACATCGGAATACATTAAAATATCTAACAAACGGTGCTCCTCATGCTTTGGCTGCACAAACCTGAATGTTATGGTCCTGATGAAAGATAATATGAGAGCTGATGAGCTACCAGCAGCAGTGAAACAGTGTGTGTTTCTGTGTAGCACTAATATTTTATGTGCTGTTATTCGAGGCCTTCCAGCTTCAATTATATCCATATCCAGTACAAAAGCTCCTGTCACTTCTCCTAATGAAACGATATTGTGCCTATTTGACGGAGTGGGTGACAGAGAGACAGAGACATAGTGAATAGGCCTATGAGCTTATTAAGTGAATATTACAGACTGAGGACCTGGCACGTTGTTTGTGCACGTTTCCAACCCCAGGAGGCTCTGCACATGGAGCTCTCGCTGAATGTTCATCGCTGCTACTTGACAAGTAGCCAGCCAGCGTCTTAAGAAAACAAACAACCCATAATTACCCCGCTCAGCCGCAGCATCACTTCCTACAGTTCAAGCAATCCAAAAGACTCGGTATCCGTGGCTACTCTGTTGCTGGGAGACAGTTTGGGTGGGCTGGGATGATGCCTAAGGAATGACAGATCCGGGCAGGGGTAGTGGAGGGGTTGCACTGGAAAAGGCCAGGGTGCTAAATGCTTCAACAGAATATTTCAGCATGATATTGTTTTACTGTCCCCTCAATTATTTTACAAACCTTCAGCCTTCCTTCTTTCTTTGAAACTTCCTTTAAAGTGTTTCTCACCAAAAAAAGGTAAAGTGTGCATTTTTGTTATCTAACCAAAAGCAGACATTTGTATGTTTTAATGTTTACATTTATGCTCGCTAGCTAGCAGTTGTGTTTTTACCCCCCATTGATGCAGTGCAGGGTTTTATTGGTTTTAAAAACTGAGAAAATCATGCGGGATGGAAAAAAGTGAGCATTTTATTTTACAGTTGAGGAAAAAAAACTGACAGACTGGGGAACTACGTTGTCCACTTCAACAAGGGCCCTTGACAAACCTTGTATTTTGATAAAGCTACATGGTGACATCTGTTCATTGTTTTGGAAGCAAGGTCACATATTAAACTCCTTTTCAACCAGTTTAAATAAGTCTCAGAGGTCCCCAAAACATGTCTGTGAAGTTTCATCATTCATATAACCCCTCTATTTTAGCCCTGCTATAATAGGCGGTTTCATTGTCTGTAGCTTTAAATGCAAGTGAACTGTGTTCGTCCACGACTCTCTGGAAGTGTTTGGGTGGATTGGGCTTTCTTGCACCATGCCCTATTGTTTACGGTGAGTAGGCAGACTCAGAGGGCAGAACAAACACCTAACTGTGGGACTTTCACCCATCTGGGGGAGGGGTTACTGCCCTTTGTGATGTCACAAAGGGGAAAATCTCCAAAAAGGCCTGTTTAAGAACACATTTTCTTAAAAGTGGAGTATGCAAAAGAGAAGATGGACTTTTCTCATAATTGGGGGGTTTGTAAACAGACTAGGGACACATATTAGTGTTTGAAAACTGTGGTTAACTGTTTTTTTTTATGTAATAGGTGACCTTTCATTTAAAAAAGGATTAAATATGAGAAATACGAATGGAGAATTATTCTGTAAAAACCTTAAAAATGATCTAACGTGAACCTGAATTTGGTCCATGAAGCTTGTAGATGCAACTAACAACCATACAGTGCAAAGACAATCATCCAGTTAAATGATGCTTTCTATGGAAAAGTTATTTTTAAAAGCTCACCGATACACAAATTAACACCTCATAGTAAAGGACCATTTTGTTTCATCTCACGTAGCCCCTTGGAACAGAAGGCCTATTTTTAGTCCCACACACACATCTCTGACCCTATTCTGTCACTGCAGTTGGGACATAGCAGTGAGCAGAAGAGTCGTACTGCTCTTAAAGCATCACTGTCCAGGTCTCCTGAGTAGGTCACCCAACTCAATATGCATGTGAGGCCGTTTTGTATGGGACTCACTGTTACCACTCTGCGAAGGAGAGGAGAGATTATATACACATTCTGTTACTGTGCTGCCATCTGCTGGACGCGCTCAGTCACACTTCTCGGGCAAAGTAAGGAAGTCACCAGAAAAAAAAAAAAAACACAACAGCCCTTTGCCCTACTAATTTCCCTCTCATATCTCTCACAGAGTGGGCGAGGGGTCAGAAAAAGAACATTCTGTGCAATTTTCATAGACCTCCACCCAAAAACATGGTATTCCCTTGAAAGATGAACTCTGTTTTCACAGACAAGCTTTTCCCAATAGTTACTAAGAATGTATAATTCCAGTTGGATGCCATCTTTTTCTTATAACTCAAGCAACATAATGACAAAAATAACTATGAAGTAAGACAGAAGCATTTAAAATGTATTTACAACTTTTCATTACAAGAGGCTGGATAAAGAAATCTTATAAAAGCTTATCTTACCCTAGATTGTTAGACTTAGGAATAAGTAACATTTCCTCGGTGGTCAGTGATATGTTTCTTTTAGAGTAAAGTGCATGTCAAAGAGGCTTACAGTTAAATTGTTGTGGCTGTAGTTTGGGTTGGTAAAATACTTTTCTCTCCTAAAGGGGGCGCTTGTTAAATCGTCCCCTCGTCTTCTGTTTTCTTCTCCGTTCTGGCGAGGATCTGAAGGACTGTTTGGTTGAAGTCCTCAGGTTGGTCAGCAAAGACATAATGGCCTGCTCCTCTGATCACCTGACAAACACAGAGGCGCAGACGATAACAAGGAGACTCAGTTTACACAGCTCAATACATCGTCACAGAAGTTTTCCAGCTCTCTTATCTCGTTGGCCACTGTTGATCATTGATGCAGTCGGTCTGCTACTGGGGACCGGTCTGACTCAAACCCCTGCTACAACCATTATTATCAGTCTTACTTTTGTTATCATTACTTAGGTGTTCTACTGCCATACCACCAGTCCTCCCCTATTCTCATCATTACAGTTTTCTGCTTATATTGGAACTGTTGACTTAAACTGTTATAATTATTATTATTATTATCAGACCATCTGACTTACTTTGCTTTTCCTGCTGATACTAAATCTACTTCCACCAATATCAATGGCATGTTGTCATACGCATGTATTAGCTGTTATTGTTGTTGCTTTGTTTGTTTGTTGCTGTCCATCTCTTCTGTTCTGTTTCCGCTTCTGTCTCTATCTTCTTTGCTCAACAGAGTCGCAGTGGCTGGAGCCTGGATCTGCTCAATGTTCATAGACGGTTCAAAAGAAGCTTTGCCTTGCAAATAATGTGCGTAAATTGCCAAATCCTTTTTTTTCATGGTGGATTTATGCTGGGTCTCTATAAATAATATACCAAAGGGTACAGTCTAGACCTGCTATATGTGTTAATGTCTTGAGATAAAGTGTTATTAATTGGCTCTCTACAAACAAAGATTGATTGAATAACAGTTTTAGCACATTTCAAAATTAAATCATATACACTTTCTTCAAATGTTGGATCTACTGAAACAAAGCATTCTGGGATTGTTTCCTGCCATGACTATTTAGTGAAACACATAATGAAGAGATGTTTTAAGGAACCTACTGTGATTTCCACCTCTGGTCTCGTCATCTTGAACGCATAGCCAGAGTCACTGTCAATGCTGGAGCGTGATCCGTAGATGAAGGAAATGGGGATATCAGCCTGGATCTGACCAATCCTCTGGAGCATGGGCCTCTTAGCCCAGCCGTAGGGGATGGTCATGTTTTTAAAGGCTGTTTCTCCACTGAAACACAAAGAAATCATGCTGTAGATTGATTGATATGCTGCAAGAGTATCAGTACAATGTCAGGATATTTTCACTCAAACTGATGGTCACCTTGGAGTCTGGGCATTGAGATGGTATATGTAGTCAGGCACTGTGCTGTCGTCAAACACAGAAGAGTATTTCTGCTTAAAGTCCGACCTGATTGTCTGAAGTAGCATTGGACCTGAACAAAATTAAAAATCAAAAATCAAAAAGGAGAGAAGCCTATTTTCAAATGTTGAAGTTCATTTCAATCACGCTCTATAAATCAAGACCTTTTTGCGATCTATAATTCACTTTAATGAAGGAAATACGACAAAATAGACTTCAACTCACAAATAAGTCATTTTTATACTAAACTTTTACAGAAGATCAAATGCATCTGAGTTTGGTAATGTGCAGGGTATGTGTAAAAATCTGCTGACCTAGAGGCCCAGCCAGTCTGAGTCCAGCCAGAGGGTTGAAGGGGCTCATGACGGCCCCCATAGCTCTGATCCACACCGGGATGGAGTTGTGGTTGGGGTTCTCCGGGCGAGCTGGGAAGCCCCACGGCTCCACCAGCAGCAGATGTTTTATCCTGAAAACACACACAGTTACTGGATAAGTGTAACATACTAACGTCGGATTCCAATCACAAATCCCCTCATCTATGTGTACGGGGCTGCAGCTAATGAGGCAGATGTTAAAGTGCAATAAAGTCATTGATAGACTGCAAAACAACTTCATACATATATATTTCAAGAATTTAAACGGAAAGGCCTAAGTTTGCCATGCCATGTATGTTTAATACAGCTCAAGGGTTTGAACATTAGGTAAAGTAGTTCTGTAGAAACAGCATGGCTAGCTTCTAAAAAAATATATTTCTGTAATTTACTGAAGCAGAATGTTTTTTGATCATTCTTTTATACAATATTAGGTGAAAGGACTTTATATGCATTTCAAAACAACTTGCATGACCAAGCTTGTGACACACACTTATGTCAGCACCTGTGCGGGTATTTGAGTGTGTATGCAGCAGAGAGGTATCCTCCGAGGTTGTGTCCCAGCAGCACCATTTCCTCCAGTCCCACCTTCTCTCTCCACTCCTCCATGGCTGTCAGGAACTGCTCCTCAGCCCCCTCCGGGTCAGTGCTGAACTGCGGGCGGCTGCTTCTGCCGAAACCCAACAAGTCTAGAGCGTAGACCGGTCCACTGCTGGACAGAGAGTCCAAGTTTTGGGCCCAAAGGGCAACTCCTCCTCCGAAGCCATGCAGCAGAACCAGAGGAGGTCTGGTTGGGGCAGAGAGACGAGGGGGAGAGCACGGTGGTGGCTGAGTGGAAAAAGCTAAAGTCCACAGGTAGTTGCTATTGGATACCTGGACATGCTGCCTGGAGAAAGGCTGCCTCACACCTGTAGTAGAGGAGAGAAAAACAGGACTTTAGTATAGAGGGAGTGGGGAAGAAGCATAAGGGAAATGGGACCCGTCCTTACCATTCAGATTCCTTGAACACATTTGTGTTTGATCGGTATCCACTTGTGGTGTTTTTGATTCTCTTTAATGAGAAAGAATATTTCGATATTGCAAACACCAAACCCTCTACGCCTTGTGACATCACAACAACTGACACTCTTGGCTGAAAACACTTCAACTTCTTTTTATTCAGATAACAGCTCTCTTTTTAAGATACACTTACTTTTGAGCATTTGTTCTTCTGCATGTTTCAGCTGAGAGGGAGATGTGGGGCACCAAGAGGGAAGCCAGCTTAATATCCAGGAGCTGAGTTTCAGGCAGCAAACATGCATCCAAGCAGGCAGACAGAAAACATAAAGTACATGCAACACAGACCAAACAAAAAAAAAAAAAGAACTTTGACCATAACATTTGTGCAATCAGTGCAACTGGTATGCAATCTATAGAGGGTACTGCCCTGAATCTTCCTACTCGGAAAACTTAACAATAGCAAAGAAATAAATATGGTGAAGCCCAGACAAACTGGACAAATACTTTGTATATTGGCAGACCTTGATAAATACAATATTTGTAACAGAAATGCACACTAATATTCTTTGACTGAGTGAAATGAGTATACTTTCTAAATCAGAACAACGATCTGCATTGGAACACTATGTTCTCTGACTGAACCAGAAAATACAGATTTTCAAAAACATCTGGATACAATTGCAATTAAACATTAAAATAAAAACGTTTTTTTTTTTTTTAAGGAATGTTTGGATGTGTGGAAATGTCACCCTTGAAGAAGCCAACGCTAGTTCAAGAACACATTTTTGTTTCGGTAATGTCATCACTAACTTTTAGCAGCATTCCTCTTACGTCACCATTCATGGTTAAAAATCTATTTTAACCATTTCAAAAAAAGGTTTTTAAAGGAAAAACGAACCTCTCTTCCTTGACAGGCTGTATCCCCTCCGCCATCCTCCGCATGATGTGTTGTGGTCTGGTTGTGACGCTTTCGCGACCATCGGACAAGGTGGTCAGAATGTATGTGATGCGTTCACTTGCATCCCGTAAGGAACTGAGTCGTTCTAAAGTAGGCGATACCAATCAATTACAAATCATCCTTTACCAAAACTTAGTATTTGTCTGGTAAGCATATGATAAACAAAAGAGTCAACGTGGTAAAGCGAAAGAATTACTTGTTAAGGCTAAGCTGTCAGAGGGCTAAATCTTTAAATGTCCAACTGCATCCAAAGTCAGCGGCGTGATGTAAACCTCTGTTAAACTAATCTGCACCTGGCTCAGGTGGGTCCGTTAAATAATTCGTTGGATGGTCTTGTTTTTAATCCCCATTTGTTCCAGTTCGTACTAACATGTGGAAGTTGTCTTTTCGTGCACTGAAATATGTATCTGCGCGGCGCTGAAGTCAATGTCAAATTTCATGGCTCTTCATACACAGGTAGCTTATTTTAAGGTAACATAACTTTCACCAACTTTGTGAAAAACATGTGGGATATTTGCAAGGCTTTGCATTCATTTACATGGCAATAAACCAACAAAGCCAACTTTCAGTTACAACCTCTCTCAGCCAATCAGAGTCTTAGATAAACATTCAGTTTCTAAAAACAGTGAAGGTAAACTGTTTATGGTAGGTTAATAAGAGAATGTTTTTAGAGATGCCATTTCTTTTAAACATGATTTTTTTTTTTGTGGAGGGGGGCGGAGGGGGGGGGTGCAGTATCCAGCTGGTTAAAACTGAAACATGTGTAAAACACTGTAGTGGGCTGTTCTTGTGACAGGTAAATCTATTTGTGTCTTGTGAATCTTAAACGATGCCAGTCCAATAGAAATGACCTTGGCCTCCTAAGAACAGGCACTGACAGAAAAATACAAATTTCTGTCAGTTTCATAAAGATGAAACCGTAGCTTATCAGAATACATTTCTTACAATAAATTAAGATAAGGGCAGAGATTAAATGGAAAGTTAATTTAATTCATCATCCTGAAGGATTTGAATGCACAGTACAATCCACTCTTTCATCCCCTTTTCTTTTTACTTTAAAGTGACTGTGAATCTCATTAAATCTTGAAAGGGGTTCATAGTATAGATTAACACAGGAATTATCCTTAAAGAGGTCAGTAGCATCCTTCAGGAAGTAATTCTACAGTCAGTTTTTGGCTGGCTTGACTTTTAGGAGTGACTTTATTCCAATAGGCATGCTCTCCTACAAACTCAGCATAATAGGATTTAAAAGTCTACAAACAACATACATGACATACATCATGTTCACTGTACGAGAAAGAAAGGTGACATTTGACCCTTCTCTCACTTAGCCTCACTTTGGTATTCATGCTACGACATGATAATAAGTCCTTTTATATTCTCACTTTTTAGAGGCTGATGAGTTGCAGAACAGCCGCTATTTCTCATGAGGTCAAGGACAATTCGAGGAGAGATTTGGGAGTCCTGGTCCACAAGGTGGCGTACTTGTTTTCTGTAAGTATACACAAACCCACTCGTAGAATACTGTCTGGCTGCTTTGTCCTTCATTATCCAATCACAATTTTCACCTCTTAACATCCACTCCTGGTGGCTCTTGGCTCTATATGCTGACTGAGTGGTGCCTGAGTGGTTTATTTCCTTTGCTCTCATAGATGCAAACACTCTCTCGCTTTGTGGGTTACTTCCCGTTCACTCTGCTGTGCTCTTGAAATCTCATAAACCGGTAGACAATGTGGCTGAAGTCGAACCCCGTCGATGAGCCACAGTGGTGTAACCCTGTGGCTGTCTGGAGACGAGTAACTGGGTGAGGCTTTTGGTAAGGAGGCCGCGTGAAGCTGCAGAATCAGGCCGCCGTGGGAGTTTTACAACTGAATGCTAGCTCCTTGTTGGAAGTTAAACTGTATCTTCTGTAGCAAATCTTCAGCATAATTGTTTTTTTTTATCAGATACACAGATTTACTGTAAATATTATTGGACGAATCCTGTGTGACGTCACTGTCTCAGCCTAACTTTTCTCAAACTAAAGACAGGCAGAGAGCTGGAGCTGAGGGGGCTTAAGCCTTATGACAAACTGTTACACTCAATCAGGTCAGCTACGCGCCTAACTACAGATACCAGTTATTGTTCATTAAATTCAAAACAGAGCCATTTAAAAAAAAAAAAAAATCTACTCAGTGCTGTTTTTTTGCCTTTACTGACTCACACCACTGTTTTCTTTGTTTTTTTTATTGCTGCATTTTTAAAGTTTGGGAAAGTAAGACCCTCATCACTCTTATTCAGACATGAAACTTGGAGTCCCAATTTACCAGATGAAATTGATAACAACTGTGAGAGTGAGCAAGGCCCTGATGATTGGTGATGAAAGAAGGCAGCTGGAGGTCAACATGGACGGCCTCCTCTGTCATGTGGGCAACACTGTAAGGTACGACGTAGAAATGTAGTTTTGAATTTGTCTTCAAAAACCATTTTAACAAAAAAACAGGTTTGAAAGAGGAAGAGAGATGGAGACGGACCATCTCACTGTTATCTGTGTTTGTGTTCTGTGTGTCTGTCTTTGCCATGTGCATGTGTGTGTAGAAACAATTTGTCTGTAAACCATTCACAGTGTTCTGGGGTCAGCTGCTGAGTCTGATTATCATATTATAAAACTTACTGTAGATCAGTTAGTTGCCTGTAAGCACAAACTGCACTCTGCCATTAGTTTTTTTTTATTTTATTTGGGGCAAGGCCCAGTGCAGTATGGGTATTAAGAGCGACTAAGCTGTTAACTGAAGATGGAGTGGGGATGGAGGAGAGGCGGAGGGTCTGTCTGGTTGCTAGGATACATTGCCGGCGCCAACAGCGGATATGATTTATAATAGCCAGTCTCAATGTCTCGCTTTCTCCGTTCGTTTCCTCCTTCCTCTTTTCCACCGACTCTCTCCATCCTCTCAATTCTGTCCTCAGCATCTCTATGGATCTGTTGACCTGCCCTGTCCGACTGATCCGAGTGCTTACCTCTTTTAACACTATTATCTTTATGGGTGTTCCTAGTGTTCCTTCCTATGTCCATCATGTGCACGCTGAGAAAGGTTCCAGGCACTGTCAGTTTATTTGGCAATAACAACAACACTCATTTCGAGTCCATCTCTTTTTTTGGTTCCCCCGGGGTCATCCATACAGAGTATATTAATGTTGGTGCAGCAATTTCCAGTTTGTGTTTTCTAAGAGCATGCATTTCACATGATCATGCAAGAGCAGCATCCACATGAATGGATGATATTGATTTGCAGAGACTCGATCCACCTCGCTATGTGAAGATCCTCAGGGACAAATTCAGAGTGAGGAGATGGGGGAACGAGGCCATGTGAGGGAAGAGACAGAAGGGAAAATGGAGCACCATATGAAAGATGGAGGAATATCACATAGTAGTAATTTAGTGATGAACATTGTAATGTTAGAGAAAGATTCTTTGCTGAGGGCAGAACAGTTTTCCATGCCTGAAGTACAGTAAAAGCAGTTTGTTTTGTGTAGTTCTGCCAAGCTGAAATATCTCTTTGGGTTAGCTTTGGCGTCATCAGCCGTTCTGTCTATCAGAATTTTAACTTATTATATTCATTTGTTTGAGGACGTGCGATGTCTGTTTGTCTCAGAGTTCTGCATCCATAAGTGATCCAGGAAAACATTCAAACTAGAGTGTCCATATTTCTCTTTCCCTTTAGTCTGTCCAGTGTCTTCCAGTAAATGGAGGATAATTTTAGAGTGATAAAGAGCCCAGAGGATATCAAGGGAGGGGAACACACACACACACACACACGCACACACACACACACACACACACACACACACACACACACATAATAAGATGGTCCCTCATTCCCTGTTGCACCTGCTGACCCCACAGGATCCACTGAGATCGGCTACTGCTGAGTGTGCGGCTTCTACAAAGACACACACACACACACATACACACACACACACACACACACACACACACACACACACACACACACACACACACACACACACACACACATACAGGAATGCATACACACTTTGACTAATAGGCCTAATGCTTCCTGAAGAGGGCCCAGCACTGCATTAGCTACGGATGTGGGATTGATTTAGAAACTGAAAGCCTTCTAGTGTGTGTTTGTGTTTGTGTGTGTGTGTGTGTGTGTGTGTGTGTGTGTGTGTGTGAATATGATGTGTCCTCATGTGTGTGTTTTTCCCTAGTCCACTCGTCTGACATTATCTGTTTACTCACAAATGATAAAAGACGTACAAGTTTGAAATTTGATCTAACTTATGATTTCGGGCATTTTTCTTGCAAAATGTGAAAACGTATATCCATTAGAAAAGCATTTCATTTAAAAAAAAAGACACCAGACAATAAACTCGCTTAGTAACTTTAGAGTTAGCAATAATGCTATTCAACACATCTCGATCCATTACACCTATTAAACTTGGGTGATTATAGACCTTCAAAATGATATAGATAACAAAATTAGAAATGGAACTCAAGACTAAAACATCAAAAATTGAAGGACATGTTTGAGCAAGCACCTCAGGAAGATTTCAGGATGCAGGCTGGCTGAACATTTTCAAGAAATGTTCAGGGGTGCGTTTGTAAAAACTGTTTTATTCTACAATTCACTTAGCAGACGCTTTTATCTAAAGCATTGTACATGAGAGAGTAAGTACAACACTAATCCATTCATACACCACCACTGAAGCAGTGGGAGCAAGTGTCTTTCCACATCGGTCATGTTGCTCAGCTGTGGATTGAACCCTCGACTTTCCAGTTGAGAGACAATGACTCTACCAACTGAGCCACAGCCCTTTATACATTCTTTTTGTGGAAGACAGTTATAGTCTATACCACTGATCATCAACTGGTGGCCTGCGGGCAACATCCAACCCCCCCACAGCTTCCCATCTGGCCCCAAGAATTTAATTAAATTCAGAACATGTAAGGAGGAAAAGATTTGTTACAGTATTTAGGGTATCTATTTTAAATACATAAAGCTATTAAAGCAAAAATC